GCCATCCTGGGGATAGACTGGTTACAAGGGCTGGGAGTCATGAGAATAATTTGGGTTCAAAAGTGGTTGGAATATGAGATCAATGGAAGTCCAGTTAGGATTCAAGGGGTGATGCCCAAGGTTGATGCCTGTCCTCTAATATCTGGAGATAAACTCATGGGCTTGTGCAAAATGGGAGCTCTTATGCATCTGTTTCAGATTACCAGTGAAACCGACATACATAAACCTGAGATTCCCATTATGATACAAGAAGTGATGAATGAATTCAATTCAGTTTTTGAAGAACCACAAGGACTGCCACCTAGGAGGCGTTGTGACCATTCCATTCCATTAATTCCTGGGTCTAAGCCGGTCAACCTTCGGCCCTATGGATACAATCCAGCCCAGAAGGATGAAATTGAACAGCAAGTACGAGATATGTTAAAGTCTGGAGTTATTCATCCTAGTGTTAGTCCGTATTCATCTCTGGCATTGCTAGTTAATAAGAAAGATGGCACCTGGAGGCTTTGTGTGGATCATAGACTGCTTAATGCTATCACCATCAAGAGCAAATACCCCCTGCCTGTTATTGATGAACTTTTAGATGAATTGGCCGGCACAGGTTGGTTTTCTAAGTTGGATTTGAGGGCGGGATATCATCAAATCAGGTTGGTTGCTGGAGAGGAACCTAAGACCGCCTTTCAAACTCATTTTGGGCACTTTGAGTATCGGGTGATGTCCTTTGGGTTGACAGGGGCACTTGCAACCTTCCAAGGAGCTATGAATGAAACCTTGGCTTCGGTCTTAAGGAAGTGCGCCTTGGTGTTCTTTGATGACATACTGATTTACAGTCCAACCTTGGAAGCTCATGCTCAAGATCTTAGAACTGTCTTGCAACTCTTGCAGGATCATCAGTGGAAGGTGAAATTGAGCAAGTGCTCTTTTGCTCTGAAGGAACTCAATTATTTAGGGCATACTATTGGAGTGGCTGGAGTTTCCACTGACCCTAGCAAGGTACAAGATATTGTCAATTGGGCTATTCCTACTACCTTAAAGAAGTTGAGGGGATTCTTGGGAATAGCTGGGTATTATCACAAATTCGTGAAGAATTTTGGTGTGATTAGTAAACCACTCACAAACCTGTTAAGAAAAGGGGTTGAGTTTGTGTGGACTCCGGAGGTGCATGAGTCCTTCGAGCAATTTAAGAAAGCTTTGGCTTCAGCTCCTGTTCTTGCTCTTCCGGATTTTACTAAACCTTCTGTCATTGAGACTGATGCTAGTGAGATCGGAATTGGTGCAGTTTTGTCCCAGGATAAACACCCCATTGCTTATATGAGTAAGGCATTGGGTCCTCGTACTAGGGGGTTATCCACTTATGAAAAAGAATGCTTGGCAATCCTATTGGCAATTGAGCATTGGCGGTCCTACCTTCAGTATGCAGAGTTCACTATACTCACTGACCACAAGAGCTTGATGAATCTTACTGATCAGCGCTTGCATACTCCTTGGCAACAAAAGGCCTATACAAAGTTGCTAGGGCTGCAGTTCAAAATTTGTTACAAGAAAGGAATCCACAATGAAGCAGCTGATGCCCGGTCCAGATGTGACCATAACTCTTCTTTGGAGGTGGTTGCTATTTCGGTTTGTAAGCCCACTTGGCTGGAAGAGGTTGTTAATGGGTATTTGAAGGATGCCAAGGCTACTTAGTTACTGTCTGAATTAGCCATTCACTCTAAGGCTGACTCTCCATACCAACTTAAGGATGGTCTTATTCGATACAGAGGACGAATCTGGTTGGGACAGAATATTGAGTTGCAATAGAAAATTTTTAGTGCCTTGCATGACAGTAGCATCGGTGGGCATTCCGGATTTCCTGTGACTTATCGAAGGATCAAGGCCCTTTTTGCTTGGCCTGGTATGAAGAAACAGATCAAGCTCAAGGTGAAGGAGTGCTCTATTTGTCAGCAAGCGAAGCCGGATCGTTCTAAGTACCCCGGGTTATTGCAACCCTTGCCGGTTCCATTGGGAGCTTGGCAAATTGTCACGATGGATTTTATCGAAGGGCTTCCAACCTCCAGGCGATTCAACTGTATTATGGTGGTGGTTGATAAGCTATCTAGGTATGCCCATTTTTTACGGCTAGCTCATCCATTATCTGCCGCAGACGTTGCTCAGTTGTACATGGAAGGAGTTTTTAGACTGCATGGTTTACCCCTGGCCATAGTTTCTGATAGAGATCGCATCTTTACTAGCCACTTTTGGAAGCAGCTGTTTAACAGTGTGGGCACTAAACTTCATATGAGTACTGCATACCACCCTCAGACGGATGGACAGACTGAACGTGTGAATCAGTGCTTGGAGACTTATTTGCGTTGTTTTACTCATTCCTGTCCAACTAAATGGTCCACCTGGCTATATTTGGGCTGAGTATTGGTACAATACTAGCTATCACTCCACACTGAATAAAACCCCTTTCGAAGTATTGTATGGGCATATTCCTAACCAATTGGGCATTACTGTTAACTCTTGTGAACTTCCAAATGTCCAGCAGTTGTTGAATGAATGAGGGTTAATGATACAACTCTTGCAGCAACATTTGAACAGAGCACAACAGTTTATGAAGAGCCAAGCTGACAAGAAAAGAAGTTTTAGAGCTTTTGCAGTGGGAGATTGGGTCTATTTGAAGTTACAGCCATATGTCCAAACTTCAGTAGCAGCCAGGGCTAATCACAAGCTGAGTTTCAAGTTCTTTGGTCCTTATGAAATTCAAGAGAAGATTGGTGTTGTAGCATACCGTTTAGTCCTTCCGGCGAGCAGCTCTATTCACCCTGTTTTTCATGTCTCGCAGCTCAAAGCAGCTCAAGGTTTTAAAGGGGATGCTTCTGTTCATCTTCCTGTTCAGTCTTCTACTAAACAAGTTCCTGTGGCTATTCTGGATACTAGGGTGCGCAAGTCAGGTATGTCTGTTATTCCTCAGGTGCTTATACATTGGTCTGATGATGTGATCGCCAATGCAACTTGGGAAGACTTGGAAGATCTTCGTACTCGTTTCCCAAGAGCACTGGCTTGGGGGCAATCCAGTTTTCAAGGGGGGAACATTGTCAAGGCTGCGTTGGGTGCTGATGCTGACATTGCCAAGGAGGAGAAGATCGAAGGGAGAGGTAGTAGACTTAAAAGGGGGAATGTTCGTTTAAGTGGACCAGAATGGGCATTGTAAGCCTGAGTGGTTATTCGGCCCAAGTGCCAGACTGTAAGCGTGTGTGGGGAGTGAGTGGGAGTGATAAAACTAAACACACAACTCCTGTAAACCTTTTTATCGATTTAGAACTTGGTAGTGGCGATTGGCGGCGGCGGAATTCGTTGGAAATCCCCGTCGATATATCTTGTGTGTCTCCAGTTCTGAATCCTAGTTTAGGCAGCTATCATGAGGGCGAGAGGGTGGCACCATTCCACGATGGCAGCAGCACCTCTGCACGAAGGCGACAACGACAACACATGGGAGAGGACCGGGGATTAACCACTGATGAGGACATTGAGGTGGCAGCTATGTTGGAAACTGGGCAACGATGATATTGTTTGTGATCTGCGAATATAACCAAAATGGTTTTCTCACACTAGATGATGATTAGGGAGGAAGAACGTGAAAGCGGCGCAGGTGCTTACCACGATAGAGAGGTGGCAGCAATGCCGGGTGGTTGACAACAAGTTGATGGCGATGGTGGATGGCTTGATGGAAGACGGCGCAGGAAGTGGGGAAGACGACAGAGGTGGATGGCATAACAGTGCTGCGCCATTCGCTGGTAATTGAGAGATCTCCCAACGATGGTAGCAGTGCTGGAAATGAGACGACCATCATGCCGGCTCGATCTTCCCATGGAGCAGCTCGTGCTTGCGATGACAGCGGCAACATTGGTGCTCACTCGATCGGACTGCAACACAACCGCGTCTACTCGATGTCCCGAGGCAGGAACCTAGGCCGGATTATAGTGAGCAGCAATAGCAGCAAGACATGGTCCGGTGGACGACGATGGAGAGAGAGGCGGCAGTGCAAGTTCGCAGCGAACGGCCGGTGGAGGGATGCAGGCGTGTCGCCGGAGGTGAGGAAGATGCATGGGAGGTGGCCTTGGCCTTGGTGTTGACCGGCGGCGGCGACGGCACGGTGTGGCAGGAACGGTGGTCTGCAAAGGGAAAAGGAGGGGGTGCTGGATCTACTTATAGAGGAGGACAGGGAGTTGAGCGGCCAGCCGGAAGATGTTTATTCATTTTTTTAGCTGAGACGATGGAAATTGAGGTGACTGACTGATGATGGTTACTCATTTTTTGGCTTTGGTGGAGAAAATTGATGGAGGGGTTTCGCCGGGGATTTGGCTGGTGATGTGATGGCACGGCCGGGGCTAGCTGAAGCGCGCAGGCGGGCTGGTTCGAACTGCATGCGAGGAAATGAGATATGGGGCTTCGGCCTCCTGCTGATGGGACTTCGGCCTCCTGCTGGCCAGAGGAAGAAGATGACCGATCGAGAAGGAAGAAAGAAAAGATGAACAGCCGGGAGACAAGATCCAACTCATCAAAAGAGATTCAATTTTCGGCATTCAACAAGTGAAATTGATGATGGAGAGGAAAGGATTAGGGAATTTCTGTTAGCTTCAGCTATAATCATGTGTCGTATTATCGGTTACTGTAACGTGTCTAGTGTTGTCGTTTCTTCAGTTTCGTCAGACTCTGTTTCGGCGTCTGTTTCTCTGTTTCTTTTTCCTGTAAGCCGAGTCTTCCGGGTCGTGCGTCGTGTGCGAGTCATCCGGATTTCAGTGTCGTGGTCGCATCGTCGTGGATGATGGCGTAGTGGTGTCAGTTTGAGTCTGTACATATTTGCTATATATATGAGCATCAGAAAACGTCGCTGGTTGGTTCGCGACACCAAAAACTCTGTTCGTGTTCATCGTCTTTCCAATTCAGAGAATTCGCGTGAGAGAGAGAGTGAGGATTCACAATCTTGGGCTTTGCTATCATTTGGTATCAGAGCCATGTCCGCTCCCGCCAGCGGTTCGTCTCGCACTCACCGGCGAACAGGCCGCCGGCTCTCGCCGTCTCCGCCGCGCGTGAGCGGGCGACAGCTCGTCGTGCAGCGGATTGTTAAGGAAGATGGCTCCGTCTACTATCCAATACTCAGACGCTCAAATTACTCCGATTGGGCGGTGTTGATGCGAGTCAATCTCCAGGCTCAAGGTCTGTGGGATGCTGTCGACACCGGCGATGTCCCGTATCAGGAAGATTGCCAGGCGCTTTCAGCCATCTTGCGAGCGGTGCCGGCTGAGATGGTCCGGCCGCTTGCCGAGAAGGACAGCGCCAAAGACGCCTGGGATGCGCTCAAATCCATGCGAGTAGGCGCAGATCGTGTTAAGGAGTCCCGAGCACAGAAGCTGCGCCAAACTTTTGAGTCCATGCGATTCAAGAATGGCGAACACCTGGAGGATTTCAGCCTTCGTCTCCAGTCCTTGGAGATGATCTGTCTGAAGAGAAGGTTGTTTGAAAATTGCTTCGCGTCGTTCCCCGGAGGTATCGCCAAATGGCTCTATCGATTGAAACCTTGATTGATCTCACTGTTTGATGAATTTTTATACCAAAATTCATAGAAAAAATAATATATCATTGGGCATTAATTTGCAGCCCAATTTTACGAAATACACGTGAAACATGTCTCTACGACATGTGGGACCAGAAAATTCAAATATCATACAATGTTCAAACATATTCAAAATTGGACTCGTTTTGTTGTATGTTTTGATTGGAAAATAATGGTTCCAACAGAATTCATATTTGATATATGATTAGGGAGATATAAACATTTGAAGGAGATCAACCAGTGTTAACCTCGTATATCCTTAATTTGTTTGCTGCTCCTCACCGGTTGGTAATTATCCTTATGGCAGTGTTTGGCAAATGTCTAAAGGAAATGATTTCCCACTCATCTTTAAATCCTAACCATTTATTCTCCCTCATCCATTTAATCCTAACCCTTCATTCATTTCCTAATCCCAATCCCACCCCTCATTTCCCATTATCCAAACACACCCTATGAGGTGTGGGATCCACCGTCAATTAGCCAAGTTAATCCTCGTGATTATCTCCAGCACACACACGTTCTTTTTATCTGGAGCACAAAATTCTTTTTATCACGCGCAGGTCGTTGGATTAACAGACGCGCTGGCTTATCCAGAGAATTAACGCTTGATTTCGCTGGCTTGCTGAAATCTCGGAAGGGATTAGGCGAGGACTCCGTCGCCTCTACTCTTATATAAGGCGCTGTCCCTCACGACGCAGGAGGTGGGAGAAAATCCCCGGCGCAGAGGCGGCTGGCAGAGGAGAAGACGTAGGTAGGCAACTATGCTGTGTGCTCTGATCTGCTTATAGTTTCACAAACCCATATCCAACATATACACAATTTACACGTCGTCACCGAGAAGCACACATAGACGGCGGACCGCTGCGCGGCTCAGCAGCAATATGCCTTAGAGAGCCGCCGGCGCTGATGGCATCTCTGCCGGCGAGTCGTCCGTCCTGAATAACAAGCAGATCGATCTTGTTTTTCGTCAAGAAAATATCATCAGTGGTGTGCAGACGAGTCCGATCCTCGTGGGGTTGGACCGTCTAAGTTATCAAATATTGGAGTTGGATATTTATTTGTATAAACTTAGGATGAGTTTGAGCCTTATTGGCATCAGACCAACCATGATTTACACATATTTATATTCTCGTTCATGATAAAAAATCGGATGCGCATATTTATAAACTTGGGATGAGTTTGAGCCTTATTGGCATCGGACCAACCATAATTTATGCATATTGATGTTCTCGCTCATGATAAAATATCGGATGTGCATATTTACTTGTATAAACTTGGGATGAGTTTGAGTCTAATCGGCATCGGACCAACCATGATTTATACATATTTATATTCATACCGGAACAATTATAGATTTGCCTTGTGCATGTCATGTGCGGGAGCAATTCCTTCTCTCTCTAAATTCTACCAGATGGATGGGAGCAACTCTCAAAATTCTTGAAGACAACAAAAACAATGCTCGCCAGGAGGGCAAGGCATGCAGATTTACAACACACGTCGACATCATGGCCGAGTGTCGACGAGATGAAATGGCCAATTTATCAATATTTGTGCTATGTCCGAGACCGACGAGTCCGGATAACATATTGGCTAAAGCTGACAAGGCTGCAGTCATTAACTCATTCCATTTGTCTATGACCGACGAGGTTAGATGAAACCATGGCCGAGTGTCGACAAGGCCAGGTCACTATACTATTAACACGTCTAAAATGGACGGGAACTGGATATACCGTTGCTGGGCACCGACGAGGCAAAAGCAATCACAAAATCCATGTTTGATGAAGGCCGGGGCACATGAGTGGGCACCGATGAGGCAAAGGTCACCCGCTTCACCAAATTCCCTCCGTATACTAACATGATGATAGTGTATTGTGACTGGGTTTTGGCAAAACAAAGCCATCAGTTCCACATTCACTATATTCACCGTTAAATCTGAACCAACCTCAACCTTCGGCGAGCAACCAAATTTTGATGTTGACGATCACAAAGCGCAGCTTAATCGGAGGTGTTCCATAGGCTCGCTCCTATAGATGTAATTAACCGGCCGCCTCATTGCTAGCGCCGGGAATCAGCGGACTGCACGGAATCTCCTGTCAAGATACCTCTCCATTAAGCATTCCTCACGAAGGCAAAAGGCGAACTCCTACAGGAGCCCTCATGTATTTGTAAACATTCATGTTAATGAATCATGATTAATAAAAAGGCAATACAGGGTTTCCCTATTTTCTGTGTGTTCGTTGTTTTGTTTTCATCAAACACTGACCTTGCTTTCTATTGAGGATCTGACTGGCCGGCTTCTCACCGTCGACGATCACCCCGACTCTGATGGCGAGGACGCGGGTCAGGTGCTCTTCAGCGAAAAGGAGGCCCCTGCTCACTCAAACAAGGAAGCTGGGCAGAACTCAGCCGGGGGGAGGGCGTCCAGCTCACGGCAACCACACCGCAGCAGGCGCGAGCGCGACGGCAACGGCTCCGACGGCAAGTCAGGTTCGTCCCAAGCGGCAAACCGCAATGTGTCCAAGGACAAATGCCGGTACTGTGGCAAACTTGGTCACTGGGCCAAGGACTGTTGCAAGGCGAAGCGAGACCGCGAGAAACTGGCTCAGGCAAACCTTCTCATCACCGAGCCTGCTCAAGCCGCGGACGAAGGGGAGCCGACACTGCTGATGGCGCAAGTGTGCGAGCTTGCCCCTGCTACCGATCCTGTCATTACTGACGGGGAGGTGACACTGAAGGAGGAACGTGCTCACGTTTCTCTTCAGGATGAAGGAAAGCCCGTTGATCTAGACTGGATCCTTGACACGGGCGCTTCAAATCACATGACGGGCTACCGTGATGTGTTCTCCGAGCTTCACACCACCGTGCGCGGCACTGTCAAGTTTGGTGATGCGTCGAGAGTCTGGATTGAAGGACGAGGCATGGTGCTGTTCGCTTGCAAGAATGGTGACCACTGCGCGCTCACTAGCGTCTACTACATCCCCAAGCTTCGGAGCAACATGGTCAGCCTTGGCTAGCTTGATGAGGCGCATTGCAAGACGGTGATCGAGGATGGTGTTCTCACTTTGCATGATCCACAGCGACAGCTGCTGTGTAGGGTGCGCCAAGGAGTTGGGCGCCTCTACGTTCTCCACGTCGAGCTGGCGCAACCGGTTTCCCTTCTCGCAAAGGGGAAGGATCAAGCCTGGGTCTGGCACGCTAGATACGGTGTCACGCCCAGAAATTTTCGAATAGAATTCCAAGCAGAATGTGCATTAAAATCCCCGTCCAGGACCGGCCGGGGTACACAAACGACAAAGTTGACATACAGATCCACGTCTTACAAACATTATAAAAGTTTTACATAAATGCAGCGGAAAAACAAAAGATAACTGGAGCTAAGCCTTGACTTGAACTACAGCGGGAACACCACTCCACAGGCATCCTCGATGGCACGGACGAAGCCTACTCCTCGGAGAAACCACCATCTGACGCATACTCAAACTCTGGGGTTTGGGGAAAATAGAGCAAGACTGAGTATTACCAACTGTACTCAGCAAGTCATACCGGAATAGGGGTATGATGCAGGGAATTATCAAGGGATAGCTATAATGGTTCATTTGCATAAAACGAGCATTTATAAACAGAAGTTGAAAGCAGTAAAGCAGTTGTAACAATTAATCAATATTAATCATCCACTGTCCAACGCTATACCACATTGCAACAGGCCCAACCATCCACCTATACTATCCAATTTCATTAGACTAAACTAGGGTGAGACTAATCACGGTGAATCTGGTTGATCGCCCATAACCACGGGCACGGCCATTTGAATAGTTTTACTCTGATCAGAGGTGTACAAACTGTACCCACAAGACACAACCCCACGACAACGTTTTCGTGCGCCGGAATGCCACCACGACAATACTAGAAAGAGGCCGTGACAGGACCCTTCGCATAACCCCCCTCTAACCAAGAACAACAACAACCTCAGGTTTAACCACACCACTCATCGCAAGCCCGTGGGCAGTCCCCTCTCGTGCCTAGATGAATCCGGAAGCCGCATAGACCATCGCAGGACCCATCCAAACTCCATCACGCCAACCCTGGCCTGGATGCGTCAGGTAGAGGAAAGCTACACTACAAGCCCAGCCGTTGCCCACACTGGCTTGTGGTAAGTATGATAAGTTCTTACAGGGCATCCCGCGAACCGGTCCTTAACTGCTATGGGTGCGACCAACAAAACCATGCACCCACAGCCCACCATGTGATTTATTTTAATTAACCAATACCGAAGCGGTGGCACTAATCCAACATTACCATTAGAATCTACAGTCTATACATTAATAGGATTTTCCCCTTTGTGTGCTAGTTGAACAAAGCATGGCTAAGCAATCCCTAGTCCAATATCTAGTCATGTTATAACCCAAGCTAACAAAGGAGCATGGTACCAAAATAGCATGGCTGTAACAGTAGGTAAACATCACATAGTATTATTGTAAAACAATGCAGTATTTGAAGGAAAACATTAGAACATTTGCAATATAGGATCAACATGTTCAAGTGACCGGCATGACTTGCCTTGCTCTACTGCTGGAGGAACCTCGACGACTATCTCGAAGTACACCGGAGCGTCGGAAGAGCCGGAATCTAAGTGACATACATAGCAAACAATACAAACACGCTATAATACTACTGAAACAGAGAACAAAACCAATTTTAATGGATTCTACATATTTTTCTTGATTTACTAAGACTTGAATGGGTTTAAACGGAGCTCGGATGAATTAGTTATGAATTTTAGAAGATTCACTGTGTTTTTACTATAAACAGAAAAATCCTTAATTGAATTATTGCGCAATAAATGCCCAGGGCTGACGTCATCAAAGGGAGCGGGTGGCGCCGACATGCGGGGCCCGCATGTCAGCGGCGCAAGGGGAGAGGGAGGGGGCGCCGGCACGTGGGCCCCACGGGTCAGCGGCACAAAGCGGCCGGTCCACCGTGGACTGGGGCCACGCGGGTGGTCCACCGCCGGTCCACGGGACCGACGGTCCGGATCGGCCTCGGGCCGATCGGACGGCGCAGGGAGCAGCCGCCGGGCTTGGCTCGGCTTCAAAGCCGGCCGGCCGGCCATGGCTAGAGGCGGCGGCGTGCATGACCACCGGCGGCGACCGGCGGCGGCGGACGGCGCGAAGGCGGCGGCGCACAGCCGGAGCAGCGGCGCGGCCAAAAGCAATGGCGCACGCGGGAAGGGGAAGGAAAGGAAGGGGGAGGGATTCCTCACCGGAGGGGACGGCGGCGACCGGCGGCAGAAAACGAGGGAGGCGGCGAAATCCGGCGATGCCGAGGTGCGGACGAGTGACGCGACACCTAGGGGAGGGGAGGACAGGAATTAGCGCAGAGGAAAAAACCCCACGTGGCCATTCATTTTTGGCCGGAGTNGGAGGGGAAAGGGGNTTAACCGCGACNCGAGGGGAAATGTGGTCTTTGGTGGGATTTCGGCAACCAAGGCGGCGGCTTGGGAAAGATCTTCGCCGCAACTAGTGTACGCGCTTAGGGGNGCGGCTCTACGGGGCACACGTGCCGTATTCGTTGCAAACGGTTGCCCTGCCGCCAACGGCGCGANCTCGGTAGAAGACGGAAGGACCGGCAAACCGAAAAGGAAANAGAGGCTCGGGCANNATTTATAGGGCGGATGGGTGNAACGGCCGGNAAACCTCCTTTTTGACCTNCGACGTGGGGTGAAANANAGATAATGGGGGATTCAAAATCGAATCCCGCCCCTTGCGAGCGCGCGCGCGGGCCGGGAGACGCGGGGGAGACGGCGGCGACGTGGGGAGGACGCGGGGACGGCGCGGCGTGGGCGCGGCAGGAGCGGAGGAGGTGGGTGCGGCGGTTTCGGCGGCGGTTGCCGACCTGGGGCGGGCGGCCGGAGGAAGGGGACGACCTCGACAGGTGGGACCCACCTGTCGGCGTCCCGGAGAGAGAGAGGGGCGGCTTGGGCCGGCCCACAAGGAGGAAAAGAGCGCGCGCAGCGGCGGGCGGACTAGGCCGACGGCCCAAGAAGAGGAAAAAGGAGGGAAAAGAAAAAGAAAAGGAAGAAAGGATTTATCCTGGGATTTAAAATTGCATGTGCTCAATTTTAATTGGTTAAAATTATTTCTAGGGCTCTCAAAATTCCACTAAAAATCTTGTTAGCAAATTTCGACATGTAGAACTCAAGAAAAATTCCACATGCCAATTCCGATTATTATTTGCATTGGTTTATTAGGGTTTACTCTTGCTTTTACACCGATATTTTCTTGGGACCATTTATAAATTCAATTTAGGCTTGGGAGGAGAACTTCAGGGTGTGACAAACCTACCCCCTTAAACGGAATCTCGGCCCCGAGATTCGGAGGAGCTGGCGAAGAGGTGCGGATGGGCGGCCTTCAACTCATCTTCTCTTTCCCAGGTTGCTTCCTCCTCTGAATGGTGGCTCCACTAAACCCGGCAAAACCTGGTGACCTTGTTTCTAGTCCTCCTTTCGCTGGTCTCAAGGATGCGAACTGGCTTCTCCACGTAGGTCAGATCTTCCTGGATATCGATGTGCTCTGAATCGGCTTGTTCTTCGGGTACCCTCAAGCACTTCTTTAATTGGGACACGTGGAACACGTCATGGATACCGATCATATTGAATGGAAGTTCTAGCTGATAAGCAACTTCTCCTCTTCGTTCCAAGATTTTGTATGGTCCCACGAAGCGTGGTGCCAACTTGCCTTTGGTTTGAAAACGGTGTACTCCCCGGAGCGGAGTAACACGAAGGTACACGTAATCCCCGGCTTCAAAAGTGAGCTCCCTTCGGCGGTTGTCCGCGTAGCTCTTCTGTCGAGACTGGGCAATTCTTAGCCTCTCTCTGACGGTCCTGACTTTCTCTTCCGCTTCCGTTAGCACTTATGTTCCGAACAGTTGACGTTCGCCTGTTTGATATCAGAAGAGAGGTGTGCGGCACTTCCGGCCGTACAACGCTTCGAACGGTGCCATTTGAAGACTAGCCTGGTAGCTGTTGTTGTAAGAGAACTCCGCATACGGCAAGCTTTTGTCCCAAGCTCCACCAAAATCAAGTGCACAAGCCCTTAACATGTCCTCCAATATTTGATTGACTCGCTCGGTCTGACCATCGGTCTGCGGATGGTAGGCTGTGCTGAAATTCAACCGGGTTCCCAATTCCTCTTGCAATTTCTGCCAGAACTTTGAAGTGAATTGGCTCCCTCGATCAGATACTATCTTTTTGGGTACTCCATGTAGACACATGATTCGCAAGAGGTAGAGCTCTGCCAACCTTTTGCCCGTATAAGTAGTGTGCACTGGGATGAAATGAGCGACTTTGGTAAGCCGATCCACAACTACCTATATCGAATCGTGGCCAGATCATGTCCTGGGCAGACCTGTTATGAAATCCATTCCAATTTCTTCCCATTTCCATTCCGGGATCTGAAGAGGTTGTAATAGTCCTGCGGGCCTCTGATGTTCTGTTTTAACTCGCTGACAAACATCGCAGAGCGTGACGAATTCAGCTATTTCCCTCCTCATGCTGGCCCACCAAAATTTTTATTTGAGATCTTGATACATCTTGGTACTACCCGGATGAATGGAGTATTGAGTCTGATGAGCCTCGGTGAGTATCAGATCCTTCAGCTCTTTGTCATCAGGCATGTGCAATCTTTCTCCCATCCAGACTGTGCCATGTTCATCCTCAAGGAAGTCCCGGGCTTTTCCGACCCTCATATTCTTTTTCAGTTCAGCTATCTCAAGATCCGTCACTTGAGCTGCTCTGACTTGATCCACGAGCGTAGGCCGTGCTTCTAGAGTGGCTACGAACCTGTGTTCAACGATTCCCACGTTGAGACGTTCAAGCTCCTGCTGCAATTCTTCACACATGTCCTCGGTGCATAGGGCATTGCAGTAGCTTTTCCTGCTTAAAGCATCTGCCACCACATTGGCTTTACCCGGATGGTAGTGAATGCTCATGTCATAATCTTTGATTAGTTCCAGCCAT